CACAGAAAACACATTTAAGAAGGAAGGCTTTGCATAGTTTGCTGGAGCCACAGAAGAACTGCTCCAGAGCAGAACGATGCTTGAATCTTCAGATCCATTTGTGTGGCATTCACCAGCAGCCACAAATGTGACTTAATTTACTTTTGAAATAATGCTTACCTATTGTGAGATGCTGTAATATGAACCATCATCACGTTAGCATGGCACATGGAATTTTGAGTGCCTAAGTTACATCATTAGGGTTGCCATTTATTAGTATCCATAAGAGTTTCCAGCCGGGCGCTGTGGCTCATACCTGTAATCCCAGCACTTTGGGAGGCCAAGGCGGGCGGATCACCTGAGGCTGGGAGTTCGAGACCAGCCTGACCAACATGGGAAACCCCATCTTTCAAAAAAAAAAAAAAGAAGAAGAAAGAAAAAAGAGTTTCCACTCCAAAAACACAAGCTAAAAAGTTGTCTTAATTGAAGGACATCTAGGGCAAATTGGTGGTTGAAAGTGAATAAGTTCCAAATTACTCTTGTTAGTGCTGTATAAGGAAAAGAAAATAACTGCTTGTCTTGTTGTGTGTTTGCTAATTTATAATTACTGTTTTATACTTTTCAACATTTTAAATAATTTTTTTATTATTGGCTATAAACATTTTTAAAAGGATTCTGTTCCTCTAGAACCGCTCTAGGTACCAAAATCTGTATTATTCTGGGTTCGTCAGAGAAACAGAACATATATATATATATACATACATATATATGTGTGTATGTGTGTGTGTATATATATATATAGAATATATAGAGAGAGAGAGTGTGTGTGAGTATGTGTGCGAGGGGGGTATGTGTTTATTCATGTTATGAAATTGAGTCATGCAATTATTAGGGTGGCAAGTATGAAATCTGTAGGATAAGCCCGCAGGCTGGAAATGCAGACAGAAGTTGATATTGTAGTCTTAAGGCAGAATTTCTGTTTTTCTGGGAAGCTTCAGTTTCTGCTCTTCCTCCCTCCCTCCATCATCTACACAAGACCTAGAGGAGAGAGTTGAGGGAATCATCGGGGTTGGTGTGGGAGCAGGGCACGGGCCCCAGGTGGTGGCCGTCTGTTCAAAAATCTCAATGTGAATATGAAATTAGAACAGAAACATCAGGCAGCATTTAAGTTTCCTAGAGGAATCATGAAGTCATCAACATCCCAGCTGTTAATATGAAGGACTGAGGTGTGTGTTTTACCCTTCTAAGGTATGGGCTCAAATCCCACTTGAACAACTCCTCCTTTGAAGGATGGTAAGAAATGCCCATCCACATGTCATAAAATTCTTCAAGAATCTATAAAACCTGATATGAGGCCGGGCGCGGTGGCTCAAGCCTGTAATCCCAGCACTTTGGGAGGCCAAGGCGGGTGGATCACGAGGTCAAGAGATCGAGACCATCTTGGGCAACATGGTGAAACCCCGTCTTTACTAAAAATACAAAAAATTAGCTGGGCATGGTGGTGCATGCCTGTAATCCCAGCTACTCAGGAGGCTGAGGCAGGAGAATTGCCTGAACCCAGGAGGCGGAGGTTGCGGTGAGCCGAGATCGCGCCATTGCACTCCAGCCTGGGTAACAAGAGTGAAACTCCGTCTCAAAAAACAAACAAACAAACAAACAAAAAAACCTGATATGAGAATTGAAATAATCTTTTATTCTGTAGAGAGAGGCATAAGTGTTTCATGCATCATCAGTCTCTGGGAAGACACATGGGTCACTGGTGAAAACGGTCCCTCAGGGGAGGTAACGAGGTGACTGGGGCAGTGCAGCCAGGGCGACCGACTTTTTCACTTCCCATTTGGAGGAGGGGACGGAAAAGCAGAGACACGAAATTGAAATGTTTTCTCTGCCATCTGGTGGGCATTTTCTTGAATAACAGGAAAGGCCTACGTAAAAGATAGGCAGCCAGCAATACATTCCTTATCCTGTTTCTTTCAGGAAATTTCCCAGGAACAGAGCAAGAGTGACAGGCAAAGGAGTGGGAGTAGGACCCGGGGGGAGGTCTGGTTGTGTGTATGCGTTTTTCCCTCCCCGTCTGTCATTGTCCTTCCTCACCAGGCCTGCAGATCACCTGTGATGACCTGGCCTCTTGCCATCCCTACACAAAACATCCCTACACAAAACTCCATCACAGGGACACACAGAATGGCAGAAGTGCAAGGCCTCATTCCTGCTGGGGCAGCCTCCTGGAGACGTCTCAGAAGGGTTTCTGGGAATTTCTTTAAAATTTGCACTACAGGCACCAATTATCCCAGTTATTCCACCCGTAAGTGAAAAATCAACCACAGAGATGATTTATTGAAATAGCCTTATTTCAGTAGAGGATGGTGAAAAGTGTTTCTGTTCATTGGTCCATTAGTTAAAATCAGGAGGGATCACTGAGTGAGTAGCGGGTGGTGGAGTGATGACAACATGCTCTCACTGCAGTCCAACACTTTTGAGACAAGTTCCCACTTCTCCATTAGACGTGTCTTCTCCACATGCAGAAAATGTGATCTTGGCTGGGCGCAGTGGCTCATGCCTGTAATCCCAGCACTTTGGGAGGCAATCACCTGAGGCTGGGAGTTCGAGACCAGCCTGACCAACATGGAGAAAACCCGTCTCTACTAAAAACACAAAATTAGCTGGGTGTGGTGGCGCATGCCTGTAATCCCAGCTACCTGGGAGGCTGAGGCTGGAGAATCACTTGAACCCAGGAGGCGGAGGGTACAGTGAGCCAAGATCGCACCACTGCACTCCAACCTGGGCGACACAGCGAAAACTCCATCTCAGCAAGAAAGAAAGAAAGGAAGGAAGAAAGGAAAGAAGGAAGGAAGGAAGGAAGGAAAGAAGGAAGGAAAAAGAAAGAAGAAAGAAAGAGAGAGAGAAAAGAAAAGAGAAAATGTGGTCTCGTAACTTCCCTCCTGCGTGCTGGGGTGCTGGCATTTCGTTTTCTTTATCAGAGATGTGAATATCTTTGTTCTTCATAGATTTCTAAGACTTCAGGGTTTCTTCAGGGAGAAGTTACTTAAGGAGGCTCCTGGGTGGACCGAGTCCTTCCTGAGGATTTGCTGGATGCCTGCAGACGTGTGTGGCTGCCTCCTCCAGGATCCCAAAAGCTGGTGCATTCTGCTGTGTACCCAGAGGTGGAGACAGAGGCTGCCAGCTCCATCTTACAGCTGCCACATGCAATTTGACGTCAGAGAATTCTCTTGTCTTTAAGGACCACACATTTGCCTTCTTCATTGTTTCAGGAAATCATAACTCTGGATTTAGAAAGGTTCGCTTTTCAATTTACTCTCTGGAAGGAAATATACTGAAAGCTCAGTTTATTTTCAGATATTGAATAGAATTGAAAAGTCAAACTGTCCGTTTGCTTGCAGTGCACACAGAGAAACTGGGTGCTCCAAGCCGCTGGGACATTTCCAGAAGCTCCATCCTTTTCCAGTAGGACAAGAGTAAAGTCAGTGAGGAACCAACATGCAGTCCATGGGCACCTCCAGGATTGAAGGAGGAGATCACACGTGTTTCTTAAGTGTGGAGTCCTGAGGACAGAGCCTGAGACCCTGCATTTCCCAAATGGCTTGTTTACTAAGCGAGTGTTTCTGTTACTTGAAATAAACTCAGAGGATGTGGAATCTACCTGCAACCAACCAAACACAGATGAGAAAATGATTAGGTGTTCTGGGAGAAAGCAGAAAAGGCCATTACCATCATATTTCCTTATTTTTATAATTCTCTTAAACAACGTGCCTGAGGTTATAACCACACCTGTTTTTAACAACTTCTAAATGAGAAAATCATTGAAAGGGCATTCGTAAATGGTAGATACAGAATAAATGCTGAAAATCAGTGCTTGATTCAAAGTAGTGATAGTCAGAGTCTCCCAGGTGTCAATAGAGAGGTTGGCCAGGGACTTTTCCCAGTGACCAGAAAGAAGAGCCTCCGGGAGATGAGGATGTCTCACAGCCAGGGACAGGACAGTGAAGGGCCCCTGTGAATGCATCACAGGGGTCTGCTCCTGTTCAGACTCCAGTGCTCAGCAGCCAGTGTAATGTGGCAAAACCTCCACAAATACATCAGTTGGCTGGATGAAAGAGGGCAGGTGTGAGCCAAAAAATAATTTTTGTTGGGGCATAAATTGATGTACCTATCTTGCAAGGAGATGGAAAGGTGGGTGGGTGGAGAGAGAGATGGATACTCATTTTCTCTGTGTGTGCATATGTGTGTACTTATCTCTGTGTCTATCTCTCTGCTCCTTCTCTTCATCTGCCATTGTCCCTTCACAATCATGTCTTCGCTGTCATCAGTAACATCTTTCACCTGGTCTTATAGGAACTTGCCTGTCTATTGCATTAGCGGTCACAAGACAGAGAAAGGAAAGGAGTGTGTGGAAAACAAGGAAATAAACGCTTCTGACGTGGGATAGTGGGAGGATGCGTGGGCCTGAGGCCCCGGGGGTGGGGTGGGGGAGACAGGGGCTGTGCCTCACTGCAGAGTTGATCCTGCTGAACACAGAAGGGAAAAGCACCCAGACAGCCCTGCGTGCTGATCAGAAGGGAGGGCTGCGCCTCCAGACCCTTCTGTGTCTTTCAGCCTTTGCTCTCTAGGTGCAAGTTACTGCCATGAAAAGGGATTTGAGAATTCCCAGAGAAGCCTTTCCGCCTCTTTCCATGGCTCTTCCTGATCTTCGAAAGCAAGCCAGACGTCAGAAATGAAATTATCCATATCTCTTTTGGACTTTGCTGCAATCTTTGGAAAGAACGTTTGTAAATGCCAAGCTAGATTTTGGCAACCCCATCAAAGTCAGTTGTGCTCAGGGCAGAGTCAACTCAGGCCCTGGACTCTCATTCTGGTTGGATTCTGTGAGAATCGTATTTACAGTGTGAATTCTAGAGCCAGCTCTTGCTGCTCCACAATTGCCTCACGTTGCAAGACAGACAAATCTAGCCTGAGTCTGTGGATTCCAGGGCTGCTCAGGAGGAGCCTCCATCCCCGCGGGGATGGTCTCAGGCTCAGCCTCCTCTGCCCACTCAACCCGCAGGCCCATCCCAGAGAGCGCTCAGTCAGAATCCCAAAGCAGCGCGGCAGCGCCCCCATGTGGCCACAAGCAGCAGGACAGAGGACCCGATCCCCTCCCTCCCCAGCCAGGACCTCCCAGGCTCCCGCTTTGCTCCCAGCACCTGGACTGGGCTCTGCACACAAGGAAGCCTCCTGGTCTCGAGTCAGGCGCTGAGTCCATCCAACTTCCCAAAATCCATGTCAACACTGACGTTTCCTCCCACCACTGCGTGACTCTGGATTTTGGCCTCAAAGAAGCGATACCTCCAGGCCAAAACAGTAGGATCAGGTCTGGGGCTGACCTACCCCCAAACCTTTGCTACCACATGACACAGTCTCTCAGCCTCTAAAATGGGATCTTGGCCTCTTATCCCCTCCCTTGTTCCTGCTGCTGCTCCTACAGGTGGTGTCTGCTCATCCCAGGAATCAGCCTGTGAGCTCCAACCCTGGAGTCCTGGCCTGGGGCCTCAGTCCAGGAAGGAGGGAGGCTCCAGAGAGCAGAAGGAGAAGAAATGGATCATAAGAGAAGGGAGAGAGTGGAAGGAACCAGGGAGAAGAGAAAAATGGGAAAGGTCCTGTTAGAAGGTGTCTGTGTGTGTGTGTGTGTGTGTGTGTGTGTGTGTGTGATCAGGAGGGGGTATCTAGGGGCCTGAGGAAAGGAGAGCTAAGGGCAGGTGCTAAGGGACCCAGCCCTGTTAATTCCATGGTCTCACTTCCTGCAGTATCACTTCATGGCCATAACCCAGTCCAGCCCTGAGCAGCCTGTGTTCACAGAAAATTGTGAGAATAACCAGAGAAAAATGACACGTTACATACATAAGAACAATTATGAACATGACCCGTCCATGTGTTTACAATCTGTCATCAGAAACAATGGTGGTCAGAAGACAATTAAATTACTTTTGTTGAGTGCTGTAAGAAAACAACCTATCTCAGGATTACACATCCAGTAAAAATATTTTCAGGGAAGAAAAATGAAGAAGTCTCTCCAGATAATAAAACTAGGATAATTTGTTGCAAACAGAACTTTACTACAAGAAAAATACCGAAGGAATTTCCCAGGTTGAAAGAAATCATACCAGATGGTAACTTGAATCTTCAGATAGGAGTGACTAACACTGGAAATACTAAATATATGGTGGGAAGATAAAGATGCTCTATTATTTCCTAGTTTTTAAAAAATACAAATGAAAACATTATCCACCATCTTGATCTGACATTTATAGTCACTGTGTTCAACAACTCCAGAACATATATTTTGTAAAGTGAGCATGGTACATTCATTAACATAGGTCATATGTTGAGACATAAAACAAATAACATCATATTTCAAAGGACTGAAATCATACAGAGTATGCTCTCTGACCAAAATAGATTTTATTAGAAATCAATAATAAGTTCTCTAGAGGCAAAAAAGTATTAAAATTTTTAAATCGTCCTTCTAAATAAGCAATGGATCAAAGAAGAAAACATAAGGGAAATTTGACAATATTGTCAACTGAATGATGATGAAAACAGACCTTTCAAAATTATGAGATAGTATTTCCAGTCTTTCTGCAAAGGACAGTGATCAAGAGAGTGTGGTATTGGCAAAAGGACAGACACAGAGATCAACAGAACAAAATGGCCTCTCCAGGTCAGAAATGGAACAACACAAATAGAGTCACCTGCTTTTAAATATAGATACAAAGGATCCAATGAAGAAGGGAGTCTCCTTTCCACAATGATGCTGAAACAATTGGCATCATATACTTTGGGAGGCTGAAGTGGATGTATCACTTGAAGTCAGGAGTTCAAGACCAGCCAGGCCAATATGGTGAAACCCCACCTCTACTAAAAGTACAAAAATTAGCTGGTGTGGTGACTTATACCTGTAATCCCAGCTACTCAGGAGGCTAAAGCAGAAGAATCACTTGAACCCGGGAGGCGGAGGTTGCGGTGAGCTGAGGTCACATCACCACACTCCAGCCTGACCAAGAGCCAGACTCCATCTCAGAAAAAAAAAAAAATCTTGATAATACTTCACACCTATAAAAAAGTAACTCAAAATGTATCAGAGACCTGAAAATAATATGTACAGCCATAAAATTTCTTACAAAACATAAAGGAGAAAATCTTAACCATGAGTTTGAGTTTTTAGATAAAACACTAAAAGTGCAATCTGTGAAAGAAAAAACAAATCAATTAGACTTTACCATAATCAATAGCTTTGGCTTTACAAAAGCACTGGTAAGTGAATGAAAAGACAAGGGACAGACTGAAAGAAAAACTTTTTTTTTTTGAGACAGAGTTTCACTCTTGTTGCCCAAGCTGGAGTGCAATGGCACGATCTTGGCTTACCGCAACCTCAGGCTCCCCAGTTCAAGTGATTCTCCTGCCTCAGCTTCCCAAGTAGCTGGGATTATAGGCATGTGCCACCATGCCCAGCTAATTTTGTATTTTTAGTAGAGATGTGTTTTCTCCATGTTGGTCAGGCTGGTTTCAAACTCCCTACCTTAGGCGATCTGCCTGCCTCGGCCTCCCAAAGTGCTGGGATTACAGGCATGAACTATCATGCCTGGCTATTTTTTTAAAAACTGGAAGTTAAGATGTGACAAAGGTCTTGTAAAAAGGTAATATATAAACAAAATTAAAACACAATAACTGGGAAAAAAATATCTTGATTTTAGAAATGGGTGAAAGATCTCAACAGACACCACCAAAGAGGATATATGGTTGGGAAATTATACGTGAAAATGTGCTTAACATCACCTGTCATTAGGGAAATGCCAATAGGGTACAGTGGCTCAGGCTTGCAATTCCAACACTTCAGTAGACCAAGGCGGAAGGATCACTTGAGCCCAGGAACTTGACACCAGTCTGGGTAACATGGCGAGACAATGTCTGTACAAACAAACAAAAATGAACCAGGTGTGGTGGCATGAACCATGATTCCAGCTACTTGGAAGGGTGAGATGGGAGGATTACTTGAGCCTGAGAGGTGGAAGCTGCAGTGAGCTATTATTGCACCAATGGACTTCACCCTGGGCAACAGCGCGAGACTTTGTCTCAAAAAACAAAGCAAAACACCACAACAAAGTACTACTACACTACTACAGTAGCTAAAAATTTTTTAACTTACAAAAATGCTGAAATGTATACAGAGCAACAGGAATTCCCACTCACTGCTGATGGGAATGCAAACTGGTAAAGCTGCTTTGAAAGACAGTTTAGAAGTTTCTTATAAAGTTAAGCAGAGATTTATTGTGCTCTTAGATATTTACCCAAAGTGAATTCAGGTTTGATATCCACGCAAAAACCTGTACATGAATATTTATAGCAGCTTTGCATATATTCACTGAAAACTGTAAACAACCAACATATCTATCAACCATGCAAGACTAAGCAGACTGTGGTATAACCATATGAGTTACAAGAAATGAGCTATTGTCAGGCCGGATGTGGTGGCTCAGGCCTATAATCCTAGCACTTCGGGAGGCCAAGGCAGGTGGATCACCTGAGGTCAGGAGTTTGAGACAAGCCTGGCCAACATGGTGAAATCCTGTCTCTAGTAAAAATACAAAAAGAAAAAATTAGCTGGCCGTGGTGGCGAGCAACTGTAATCCCAGCTCCTCAGGAGGCTGAGGCAGGAGAATCGCTTGAATTCAGGAGGCAGAGGTTGCAGGGAGCCGAGACTGACTACACCATTGCACTCCAGCCTGAGTGACAGAGTAAGACTTCACCTCAAAAAAAAAAAAAAAAAAAAAAAGTATCGCCTTGGTGCAGTGGCTCATTTTGGGAAGCCAAGGTGAAATGATCACTTGTGGCCAGAGTTGAAGACCAGCCTGCGCAACATAGCAAGACCCTGTCTATGTTTAAAGTAAATGAGCTGTTTGTCCATAAATCAATTAACTTAAAATGCATCTTACTAGGTAAAAAAAAGTCAGACACAAGGCTTCATTCTATCTGACTCAATTCATATGCCATTTTGGAAAAAGCAGATCTATGAGGACAGGAAACAAGTTAATGGTTATCAAGGGTTGGAGGAAGAAGGGATAAAGAACATTCAAAGGGAAATTTTTAGGATGAAGGAACTGTTGTATATGGCAGTAGGGTAGTGGATATCTGATTCCATACATTTGTCAAAATCCGTAGAACTGTACATTACAAAGAGTAAACTTTAATATATGCAAACTGATACATAAATATATACATAGATACATACGTATCTGTTGTTATTTACATTTAATGTTCATTTGCTCTTATACGATTAAGCAGGACCCTGATTTGTGTTGTAATTTATACATGCCTTAAAGCCTAATTAGAACACCGTAGATCCAAACCACTGTTAAAGTGTACTCTAATGTGCAAAGTGCACATCAAAGCTAAATGCACCCCTCCACATCTAACATCAGTGGAAAAAAAAATAATACAAGACTTCCTCACGACAACACAGTATCCTACCTGAATACTGTGGGAACTCAATGCGTATACATGTATAATTGATATGTGTTTAATTCCTATATTTAACTGTGGAAACTTCTTATTAAAAAGTTATATATGTATACATGCTTGTATGTTTGTTTTCAAGTGTGAACATCAAGACAGAATCATCTTCAATAACTTATGTCTGCTCTAAGCCACTAATTAAGCAAATTCTATGAACTTGGACTTTGTTCACCTGGAGAAGAAAGGTCTGTATTTTGGTCAGTTAAGGACTACTAAGAATCTCTTCTTTCCTCTTTT